TGCTTCAGAAAGGTAAAAAGACAGCGTCAAGGACATGCTTATACCAAACATGCAATCATCTACTCTATAAAGATAAATATATACACATTTGGAAAACCCAGAATCATATTAACATCAACACACTTTATCCAAAAAGAAGAGAGAAGAGAAACAACAAAGAACAGGATTTTTTCTACTGAAACAAACACTCAACCTCACACACTCAAAAATGACCATCATTCAAGAAGTTGCAACAATGCCTACGGATAAAAGAATGTGTAAATATGAATGAAATATTGATGATCAATGCAACAAAGAGAACTACGTTTCCTCATTAAATACACCTCACTGATAGTTGCAAGTTCACCCGATTCAAATCAAAAACATCTTAAGTAAGGCTCGACAAATGATCTGTTTAACAGTTAAATACTTAAAAACTGATGATAAGCGTTTCACGTTCTACAACTGATAATGTGCAGTAAATGCCAGATACTGTAAAAAGTGAACCAAAATGTCTTTGTAAATAAAAGAAATCAACTGGCTCTGTTTAAAATGGCTCTTCAACATTAATTTATAATGTATCAACTGAGCTTGTTTAATTATTTGTCAAGGTTATTGTGTCAAATAAAATATATTAAAACCCTTTAGAAATACTTATTTTGTCACTGTAATAATTTGATGTAATTTATTTAGTGGATTAACATGTTTTTAACCCTTTTTCCAGGACACTTTTCCTACCAAACTTCAACACAGGCTTTCTGCAGTGACTTAATTCAACTTTTAAAGACCTTAGAAAGGAATTTAATACCCTTTTCACAGTCATAGTCAATGGGACAAAGCAACCTACAATTAATTATTAAGTGCTTGAATTTATTGACATCTATATTACATTTTTTGTCAGTACTTCCCAGGTGCATATAATAATAATAATTTGTGATGTACACACGGGGTTATAATGTGCAGTTATTGGTGAATCTGTTTTAGAGACATGTTTATTTAACTTGTGATTTTGGGGGATGAAGTTAATGGTACAGTGTTTGTTATTTAGCCTACCCTCGTTGATATCAATGGGATGGATACAGTAGATAGCAAATACCACACTACCGCGCCTAGTTTATTTATTTGGCTATTATTAGTATCATCAGTTGCTGAAGTTTATTGGATAATAACACATACAGTACTGAAATCTTAAAATATCTTGTGGGAAGTTAACTACTTTTTGCTGCGTATGTTTATTCGGTAGGTATGAGGTACTGCTGTGGGAAGGATTATGGCACCATCATCCTGCACCTGTGTTATTATGTGAAGCCTAATTAAATGTGGTGGTGTTGTTTTGGAAGTTGGTAGCCTTGGCCCCAGGAAACAATGGCACGACGCCTCTCCTCTCTCACTCCCTGTTAATTTACTTTGCGCTCTCTCAGCTGCTGTTTGTGCACCAGCCTCACCCATTAAAGCTGAGTGTCATCACACTGGACTGAACTGTCTGCTTGTCTTAGGTGCAGTGGTGATGAAACAAGAGCCCGGAGCTCAAACACAAAACTAATCAGTAACTCCTGATGAAAGAGTCCTACATAAATACTCACTCAAAGCACTGGCTAGTTTAGCTTCAAGCACAATGAGCTGCATGTAGATTAAAGCAGCATTTCAACATAATCGTATTTTCCTTATCTCGTTACATACCCAGCAAATACCTCAACAATGATTGGACGGATTGTCTCACACTGGTGACCTCCTGACTTCTAGTATAGCACCACCCGCAGGTAGAAACTGGTAGACCGGTACAACCCTTTAACGCTCTTCTCAACAGCTCCGGCTTCACGGGCTTACAAGCTTGTTAAAGTATTAACTACTCTCTATTTTTTTGGATTCTAAAAACTGAACATTTCTTCTTTTTTTTCATACACATAAATATGAATAAACTTGTCTAGACCTCCAATTAATTATTTTACTTAATACAACCATAGAATCATAGTCACGTCGTCAAGCTGGGCAATATGACATTTAAAATCTATTTCATGATTATTTCAAACTTTTACCTCAATTACAAAGAATGCTTTGGTTTTTTGGTTTACTTTTTTTAAGCCAAGCGCTCTTCACTTTCAGAAATGTGATTGTGTTCCAAAGTGATTAAACAAATTGGAGCCGAAATGTTCCCAAACGACTGCGTTCTGTTTAGGCAGAAGCTGCTCGGGTTGCGGCTCGGTGTTTGCGCTCGTGTCATCTTATCAGTATCGGCAGCTTCGCTTTGAGTGAGCGTGGACTTACGTTAGTTGGACAGGGGTGGGGGGAAAGTTCATGATCGCACCCGTTGGGGAAGGTATTAACCGAATTAACCGACAAGAGCAAGATTAAGTCGGTGAGAGGTTCTTAATGTCGGTTTCGACACCTTTTCGGTTAATTTCCCAGCCCTACATGTAGGTCTATTGAACCTGATGCATCAGTTTAAATCATGACTTACGTACCAGAGGATGGAGCCAAAATACAAAACAGTATTTGACAGCGTTTTATAAATAAATATAAATTATAAATTATAGCACCTGGAGGAAGATAAAATTGAGATTTTATAAAAGACAAATGCGTCTTATGTTTCTTATATGCATGGACTACAGTATGTTTTATTATTAGATGTTGAATTCTAATGACTATGTACCGTAATGTAACGGTATTGCAACGTTGTCCTACAGCGTTATCCCAAATATTATTTTTGTGACACAGAATGAAAACAGAATAATAATATTGAATCTGCCTGAACATGTTCAGCACCGGAAAAAAAAAAGCTGCAACACCATTTTTGCTGAGAGTGATCATGAGTCAACATGATTCACTTGGCGTCTAAAAGTCCTGAATATTTTCTTTTAATGTTTAAAGTTTCTCTGGGTTTTATTTCTTTATTTATTTTTCTAAGCTGCAAACTTAAATTCCACCATGCCCACACTTTTATAACACTTACTTCATCATCCTACGCCGTGAAGTGCAAACTTTATCCACCTGGCATAACAGAAAACACACAGTGGAGCTGTGACGACGTTCTGATTAACTGATTACTTGATTGAGATAAAAAATTAATTGGCAATTATTTTGAAAATCGATTAGTTATCGGGGGCAGTTTTAAAAGAAAAAATGCAAAGTTTAGGATGAATTTTAGGTTACATTATTAGTAAACTGATGACCTTTCAGTTTTGGGCAGTTGGTCACATAAAACTGTTTTAATAGTTTGTAGTGCAAAAATTAATAAAAAAAAATACTGAAAGACATATTGATAATGAAAATAATCAGTTACATTGTTACCCTGAACAGAAGCCTGATACCTTCTGTAATGCTGAGGACTTGTGTTCATATTATTAATATTAAATACAATATATATTTATAGCACAACCTCGTGGAGCTGTCTCCGAATATATCATTGTCACATTAGTTGTAATAATGAGCATCAGTGTGATGCACTCAAGCTTCTGTCAGCTTTTCCCTCTTGGCATGTTTCATTATTTTTTCCCCTCCCCGCTGCTTTTGATGGTTAACTAGAAATCTACCATGAGGCTATTCTTTGATTTTTCAAGCAATTAATTGATGGGAATTCATAAGTATGACCAAATGCAAGAAGGAATATTTGAAGTGGGGCTACTGTATGAGCTCTTTCATAAGGAAATGATCTTTTTGAAGGCTAGGATTAGCATTAACTGTCAAATGAACTCACAGCAACGGATTTATGAGAAAACCTGTATGTTTCATTTAATAATAATAGCAGCTGCACTGTTTGGTTTGGCTCTAATGATGTAGCATTAGCAGCAGTAAACTTCATATAAAAATGAGCAACTAATAAATCCAGAACTTGACTGAGAATCATGATGTTTTTAAGGTTTCTATAGCAACAAAATAATCCATCTTGTCTGTACATCCATGGGTACATCCCAAACAGGAGCAGCTAATTGTTAATTCTGTGTACTTTTCACCAAACGTTTGCCAAAATGTGAGCAAACACATATACTTTCCTTACTATTTACGTCCCTAAAGCACCATGGGAAACTGATTATTGAAAAGGGGCCATAATGAAAAGCGATCTCCACCTTTTACATCAGCATAGAGAGTATTCACATAGATAAATTTATATATTTATAGATGTAATCATAGATGTATCTGATGGATGAAAAACCTGCCCCATTGGGTGGGTTTGAATATCAAAATTAGCCCCACCATCCAATAATGGAGCATATGTCGTCCTCAAATGGGCCATTCTGTATAATGAGTACTTTTACTCTTGGTACTTTAAGTGCTTTTGTAAAAGACGTGAAAACTTTTTCTACCATAGCTGGTGATAATCATCAACAACAGAAAAAAGAGGATTATTTCAGTTTGAATTGAGTGTCATAATAAAAATAAACTAATGTGAGCGGAGTCCCATTACCTCTTTCATTCTTACCATTTTTCCTCAAACACAAATATATATATGTTCACACGCACACATACATTATATTTACAGCATGACTCATGCTTTAAGGTGGGCTAGTTAAATTTGACAGGATAAGAGAGGGGGCAGGTTGTGAGCATGAAATGAAGAGCACTGAGGAAAAGAAGACACAGCACCACCATCACCACCACACAGCATACTGTAAAGTAATATTTGGGGCTCAGCTGTTCAATAAGCTGAGTGCAAGTCTGGTTCTACATCATGTGTGGAAAAGGTTTTAAAGGGATTTTAACCCCGACATGCTCGGCAGAGACAACTACAGAACTGGCAACACCATCACAGCCTCAGATATGCCCACAAACCCAGCTAGAGTCAGACATCTTGATAGCTCGAGCTGAAGAATGCAAAACAACGACACTCTTTGATCTCCAAAGCTCCCAGGTAGGTTGGCAGACAGATGGCAGTCAAACCCAAACACAGGGACAGGTCAGGGACAGGGCAAGACAATTAGAGGGACCACATACACACAGCAGACAAAATCATAACAGTAGCAGGGGGAAAAAAGAGGGGCGGGGGGGGAGGGGGACTCGACGAGAGAAGAAATAGTCTCACAGACCTGATCAGCGAAAATCCTGGTTTTTGGCTCAATCATGGGTCCTCCCCTTAACTCATCCTCCACAGCCATGAGTCTTGGAAGCAGAGAGAGAGAGAGAGAGAGGGAGGGAGGGGGAAGGCGAGGGGGAGGGGAGGGGAGAGTGGGGGGGGGGGTGACAGAAAGAGAGGGAGTATTATGAATTCAAGATGATACATATACAAGAAGTTGAGCAGATGCATCTCCAACATCTGGCTCAACAACTCAGTGACGAGCTGCTGGTTACCTGTATCTTAAATCTGAATCCCAAATCTGACGAGCAGCTCAATCTTTTAAGCCCATGCAAATGTTGAGCAGCAGTAACCAAAGCCATGCTTTATGAGGCACTGCCAATTTTCACTGGTGGAGTCTTTCTTTTTCTTTTTCTTTTTTTCTTCTCGCCGCAATGGGACTCATCAAAGCCCTTTTTTCCCAATTTAAGGTGTTTTCAAAGCGCAATTACGGCCAACTGTGGACAATTACTCCAAGTTATCTGAAGTGAATGGTTCAGTAACAGATCCCGATCATCCCCAGGGAATTGCCCATCTTATGTAACGTGGACTGACCAAGCCACTGGTGGAAAATCCTTTGACTAATCATTTCAAAGACTCCGCTCACAGATATGAGCGAGCTTACTGCTGCAGTTTTCATGAGCCAGCGGACAGTGCAGGTTTCCCAGCTCTCATGATTATCCAAGTGCCAGGGATTTACTCCAGATAGGGTCATTCAAGGATATTTCTCACACAGGGTTATCTTGCAGCTACGCAGCCAACTGGCTAAACTGTGAGTATTATAATGGTGGTGATCAATGCCAAATAGAAGTTAGTGTGAATAAAAAAAAAGACATCTTCTTCACATGAAAGATTTCATTGCATCACTTTCATGACTTTCAATCTGTTTTACAAGGTTTTCACTTGACATTTTACCGCAGCAGAATAAACATCCTTGCAATTTGTTGACATGAAATAAGCTTCCTGGAATATTATCCCTTTATAATAGTGCATGAAGGAGTAACTTTACAACTTTATGTCAATTTGTCTTGGTAAAATGACTGAAAGGCTTGTCACTCACGTGTTCATTAAGCCACTAAGCCAATCAAATAGTTGACAGGAACATTGAATTGCCACCGCGCAGAATAAATATAACACATATCAAGTCATAGTGTGTCACTCAAAGCTATTTTTCAGCACATTCATATCATTTTATTCAGAACACAGAGAGGCACATGTTCGACAATAAAGAACGAAAATCCACAGGTGAAGTTTCAAACATAAGTGTTTGGATGTTTTATTCCATAAATAATGTACAGTGTTGAGAGTTATTTTACAAAAGAAGAGAATAGGAAAAAGAAAAGAATCAATCATAAGCACAGACAGAAATATTAGCACTGTCCCAAAAAACAATGGAATGTAACATGGGCATACAGCATTAAGATTTTGACATGACTTCAAAAGGCAGACAATGATTCATGTGGGTGATATGTTACAAAAAAAACAGAAAAAAAGAAAAAAAAAGTTAAGCTTTTTATATCCAGTTGTACTTCAAGTAGTGTGCTTTTGAGGTCAAGTCGTACATGTAGTCAAAACAATGTGTGTATCTACCAACATGAGGTCACAATGTCTGAATATTTTGCTACAGAGAAAAAAGGCAAGAGACAAAGGTGTCAAATAGGATGTAGAGTTAATGTAAAGTCAACGGAAAGAAACAACAGACCTGGATCAAACAGCAGCTGCAAATACTTTCTTTTCTTTGCCATCACAGCACGTGCGTCTGATTGAGAACTTACCTCTCAGCATCGGATTGGTGTCGATGCAGGCGACCCCCACCCATCTGGTTAAAACAAACTAAGAATTATTTGCAACTATTTGACACAGGTCTGTACAAAGTGAATATAAACCCTTGGCTGTTGCTACAAGCCATGTCAATCACACACACATCAAGCCAAAACTCATCACCACTATGAATTCATTTGCAAGATTTAAACATAAGTTTTGCCGTAGTACAATCTATACAGCCTATCAATATATTCTTGCTACAAAAGAGAGGCAGATATACTGACACCAGAGTATTATCTATATCTCTGGAGAGGGAAAAAAGAAAAATAATAAGATGGTTGCCCTTTTAATGGTAATATTTAAATCATACTGTAACTGCATAAGTTAAATGACAAAACTGTCTAACTTTCTTAAACAACTACTCTGATCACCATGTCACTGGACACCACCAATGACGGACTGCAGGTCAAAGTCATACCAAGCATATACAGCAAAATCATACAGATATAAGATAATCTTTTTCGCTTTAATTAATAAATAATATCCATTGCAGTCTTTCATTTAAAATGCAGATAAATTCACAAACACCGTACAGATAAGCCAAAAACAAGTAGAGAACTTAAGAACACACTTCAGGACATACTGTTGTCAAAGAGTCACGTCATTGTTGTCATGTTGTCTCTGTGGTATTTTGCACTTTACAGTATTCCAGGTCTTTATTTTCTCTGTTTAGATACTGTGGATGGCACCTGGTAAAAGATTTTGGCAGGAAGTTACTGTTTCTTTATGTACACAAAATGCATACAATATACCTCATCAGGATCCTGCATGTGCACTCGCACACGCAGCACATGTAGACATATTGTATCTATTATTGCGCTTCTCCTGCTAAAACGTTAGCTATTGCAAAGTTAAAATAGTTATAATCTCACTCTCAATAGAATTCATATATATTTTATATATTATTGTTGTTATGGCTCTTGCATCACAGACTTTAATATACTATGGATTATAGTTAAAAATAAATTATTACTATGATAGGTACAATTAAGACCATACATTTTTTTCCCCCCTACTGCACAACTCGCTGCATCTCTCAAATGTATATCAGTCCACAGCAAACAGCTTGGGGAAGATAAATAGTTTCATTCATATTTATAATTACCAAAATGCATTAAAATATTTTGACAAAAAAAAAGAAAAGAAAAAGAAAAGGAGAGCCCGTAGCCAACTAATGGGATCATTACCCTAAAGAAAATATAGATAAAAGTGCTACAGGTAAAGTGGACTCAGTGTTTTCAGTGGATTTAACCTAGCATGACTTCAAACTCAATATTTGGCTTTGGTTTAAATTAGATTGTTGAGAACAAAAAGTGTATCTGGTCCAGTGACAGATATTGGATTTGCTCTGAGCTTAAAGTAAAAGTTTATGCACAGAACATTAAGGCTTCTCTGAAAGAAAAATCTCTGAAACTTGAAACACAACGCTAAGTGTTTTTGTTCTGCAGATGAAGAGATTTTTTCAAGCCGACACAGGAGCCGTGAATTCAAGATCGCTCCTTTTTGCAGAACCTGAGCTTGCATTTGCATCCAAATAATGGATCTGAATGTGAAAATTTAACATAAAATTCAATTTAAGATGAAAAAAAACATAAGGCTATGGTTACACTTGCCATTTCACTAAGATTTTTGGAGTCCAATCGATCCAATATGATGGCCTGAGACCACATATCTTGGCATCCACATTCTCTGCACTGCATCGCTCTTATGTGCATTAAAATTCAAACACGTCCAGATGATGCACAGGTCTTGCAATGAATTCGATGACATGGTCTGGCTCAGTAAATTGTGAGTAAAATTGACTCGGAAGCATCCAGATCTGCTACTTAATTCATCCTTGTGTGGTCAAATGATAAAAGTCACACAAGTTACAAGTGTAAGCCTTGGAAATATCAGTTTCCAGCACAAGATGCTTTATGTGTGAAGCAGATTTGCTGTGTTCGCTTTAAGCTCATACTCCAGGGGAGCGGTAATCAATGGTTAAGTGCTCTGATATAGTTTCTCTATTAGGTGGCATATTTCCTCTACGCCTTTATGCTTGAATCTTCATCTTTCACAGACTGATTGAAGCTTTGTCTGTGACTTTCTCCCCTCTTCGTATTACACCATAGCATCGTATGTGTGTAAAAAAAAAGGAGAGGTTTTGGTCCCCATGTTCACTATGTAGAAAGATACATCAGCTGTCCGTCAGTGATCGTGGTTTACCTTGATTTAAAATGGAAGAGCTTATATTAAACCATGGTCTTCCGTAGTCCTGTGCCTGAAGGTCCAAAACAATACTTAGTGTTGCTTTAAAAAGTGCAGACATGTTTCTGAAGTTATCAAATTTTCAATCCTCTTGTGCTTTTACAGTGCAATCTCATGGGAGAGTCAACTGAAAATTAAGCTAAGTGGAATCATCTCAAATGACCCCGAGATCCAGTTAAAAGCCAGAGCTGTGTTCATAAAAATGGCTGATGATTAGTGCAGCAGCACAAGGACACGGGAAGGTGTTTAACGATGGTTTTATATACAAGGTTAGGCGGTTAAAGATGATTTCCCATAAAAGACGAGCAGGACTGTCTCTGTCTTCATTCCATGTCTTCTTTCCTGGAGTGGATTAGAAGTGGCAATATTCTCTGTCACAGATATCCACCCTTCAGTTGCAGACCACAGACTATTATACGATACGTGAACAAGAACATATTGTACTCTTTTCCTGACAGAGTCTTTTAACTGAACTCTTTCCACAATAATAAAAAAAAAATAATAAAAAAATAAAACTACATTTGGGCAGCAAAGCTAATGTGCACTCAAACTTAAAATCCTCCAGAAGTCCTCACAGCATAGCAAACATTTGGTTTTCGTGCCTGAATACAAGTGAGATACAATCAATATTTCACTCTTTTCCCATCAACTACTTAATTATTGTGGTCGATCAATAAAAACTAAAGACTGCACTCAAAAACTGCACCATTACAATTTCACACAAGCACTCGATAAATTAGGACTCAACTGGAGTTCTCCGCAGTCACCCGAATATGATGCTCTTGAATAACGAGTGATCATGTTGTGAGGTTATGATAGCAGATTTACTACAACAAGTGCTCAGAGGACAATCAAAGACTCCTTTGTCCACTTTAACTCAGTTGAAAAGAACCAGCGGTCAAGGGAACATGCCCTGCATGCTTATCAAAGAAGATATAGATCTCCGTCCTCCATATTACAGTCTCTCATTTAATTTGTCACTCATTACATGTCTGCAGCTTTGGCTTTCAATATATAGCTCTCTGCCTTGTTCCCAGGGCTGTAGTACTTAATGAAACTGAAACCAGCCTCCTACACTGCAATATTCTTTGCAAGATAACAACCTCTGGTAAATAGAGTCCTATTCCAATATGCAATATATGTATTTTTGGAAAGAACTGATTCAACCTCATGTTTAAATCTTGTTAAATAGAATCCAATATACTGAAGTTGTACTGTGTCAAGCAAAGACTTCTGCTTCTGCTGACTCCTCAGAAGTATAATACATTTTAATGAATGCTAGCAATCTTAATCTGAGAGAATATGTCACGTTTTCCACATACTTTGGAGGAAAACTCATTTCATCTATTCACCAAAGGCAGCATAATAAACAAAAATAAAGTCAATGTGGCCGCCCATGGCCTCCCTATAAAACACCACGTCTTAGCTGTCTTTTGCCCTCCAGCCCAACAACAGCCTCCATTTACCTGCTAATTATTCCTTTAATTTGGGAGTCTTTCTCCAGTTGCTGTTGCCGTAGCCTCCGCTCACTGTCCTCAAGTCGATTCTGGTACTGTAGGAGGATCTTATTGGTCTGCTGCTCCTGTGTGAGGAGCCTCCGCTCGTACTCCTCCAGCTTTTTATGGGACATCACCAGGCGCTCCTTCAGGGAGTTGATCTCCTCCTCGTACTCCCGTACCTGAGGCAGAGATAGAGAGACAGGTTAGATCTTTACAAGCCTTGATTCCTCAGTGGGATTAGTGGCATTAGTTTATGTAGTTTAGTTTTTATGAATATTCATGCAAACTGTAAAGAAGAAAACAGCATTCAAATGCTCAAAGTTGGGGTGGCTGAGGTACAGTGAATATACCAAACACTGCAAAAAGATTTATGAACATTTGGCTGATGGTTGTTGTTTCCCACACTATTTGAGACCTCTGGACTTCTGTGTTAAGACCAGAGCTGAGCGCCATCTGCTCAGCAATGACAGACATGACTCAATGTTCCTCCATTTTACTAAACATGAATAAAAAGGTTTTTCCTTTAAAGGCCAGCTCTGAAACTTTGAAATGATACCTACCCTGTCCATGCGTGACTCATCCATGCTCTTTGAATACTCCTTCAGTTTAAATTCTTCACGGTCAATCCGCGAACTTTCAATGTCAGCTGACAGATGAGGCATGTTGGAGACCCAGGCCACTGTTCGCTCATTGGCTGGGGTTGGGGGATTGAGGGTGGATGGAGACTGGGACCCCTAGGAAGAAAGGCCAGCACACTGAATATGAGAACATGAGTTCTTCAGTGGATGAAAGTCAGTTTCATAACAAGTGATTTTTGAGTAGGCTTTTATTCAAAGTGCCTCAGAGCTGCATGAGTTCATATATTTTGAGCATGGCTGGTCCCTGGTGGGACTCGAGCCCTTAATCTTGACAGTATAAGAACCACGCTCTACTCAGTGAGGCGCACACACACACACACACACACACACACACACACACACACACACACACACACACACACACACAGTGAAAAGCCATATACAGTAACTGAAATCTTAGTTGAGACGCTGTAGAGAAATATCCATGAGAACAGATGCTGATAGAAAAAAGTAGATCGCCAAAGAGAAGAACAAAGGGAGGAAAATAAATCTAAAGTGTGCAGATGTTACCTGTTTGCTCATGGTGGGTTTGAGAAGATGTTGTTGTTGTTGCTGAGACTGTTGCTGTGGTGACTGCTGAGTGCTCTGACTGGCGGTTCCCTGCGGACTCTGGCTTTCCCTGACAGAGCTCTGCTGGTGGGGCAGGCCCGGGGCAGTGTTGTCTTTGACGGACAGCTGCCGGGGCCCGTGCTGCCTGCCGCCGTAGCCAGACTCTGGTGACTGGAGGAGATTCCCGCTCTGCGGTCGTGTTTTAGACGGAGCAGCGGGAGCAGCAGCTGCACTGACGGACAGCTGATGGGAGGTCTGGGATTTGACGCGCTGGGTGGGAGGCGGGGCAACAGAACTCTGGCGCACAGGTTGGACAGTGGAGGGGGGCGTGGTGGCCAGGGAGGAGTGGGATGTTCCTGTCTGGGAGGTCATGCCCATCATTTGTTGCTGCTGTTGAAGGTTATCCTTACAGAGAAAATAAGGAAATAATACGTTAGTGTTTTCACTTGTCTTTTGGGGCAGATGACGCAGCTTTGAACTCAGTGGTCAAGGGGCTACGGAGGTTGGGCGTGTCGCCTCAGGTACCAGTGAAACAATGAAATATGATCCAGGAAGTCCAGTTTGAGTAATAGACCCATGACAGTGAAGGATTATCAGACGACAAAATCGATCATTCAAAAATAATTCAAAATGAGGAGCTGAAATAATTCATTGATTAGTCCATTGGCATCAATTTTGATCGAATCGATTAATTGTTTGACCCGTTTTTTTTGGGCTCCAGTTTATGAAACTGGTAGATATTTCTGTAAATTAAATATCTTTAGTTTTGCTTATGTCATCAGAATAAAACTCTACATACAGACACCAGAACACAGTGAACATACATTTACCTGCACGTGCATGGACATCTGCCTGCGTCCATAGTCAGCCCTGCTGTAGTCGTCACTGTAGCTGTGTGAGTGGATGATGCTGGGTTGGCCCAGGTGACTGTCCCTGGTCCTGAGGGTGGACAGGTCCTCACTGCGAGAGAACCCCCCGTGGGCGAACTGTGGGATGTAGGTCTGGTGAGAAGGCTCAGGCTCTGGGGCGAGGAGCAGGGGTGCTGGGGGTTGAGCCCGGCTGTGCTGGTGATGGAGCTGTTGCTGTTGAGGCCCATCAGCAGTCGCCAGATGAAAGAGGGGATTCTGGAAGGAAAGCGGGTAGCGCATGGCGGCGGCCTGCTGTTGCTGCTGCTGGGATAGCGAGTCGGTGGTGGTGCCCATCTGGCTCAGCTGGCTCAGCCGAAGGCCGCCGGACATGCTGGAGCCGCCAGAGCCAGCTGACAACCTCCCACCGGCCCGCAGCTGGCTGCTCAGGCCCGACCCCAGGCCGCCACCGCCTCCGCTGCTCAGCCCTCCGAAGCTGCCCATGCCGGCGATGGAGGCCTGGGAGGAGTTGAGCATGTCCACCGACTGCAGGTTAGACACGCTGTTCATTCGGGAATCCTGGAGGTCCATCATAGATACGCTTTTATTGACACTGAGCACCTAGATAATAAGGGATATGAGAGGCTAATGTGCCCCATGTTATTTTGTTATGTTAGGTGGCCACGGATGATATGGGTGAGGGTGGTGCGGGTGTTTTTACCGCGAGGCCTGGATATCGGAATGCCTCAAAGTATTTCCCAGGAAATACCGCTAGGATGAGTTGCGTGGTGAATCAGTGGAAAAAAAGCAGATGTCATGATAAACTACAGCCTCGGTCAAACGATGGCAGATTCTATTAAGTATGACTAACATGCACGCCATACTAACCTCACTTTGATAAAGATAAACCTAGTGGATGGGATGATGATTCCCCAAGTCAGTGTGATAAAACTCACCTTAGGGTCTGGTTCGGTGATGTCCGAGCTGCTCGTGCAGTAGGCGGGGCTGGACCGGGCCAGGGGAGGGCGCGATACATAAAACATGTCTTTGGAGGATGCTCGATGAGGGTGGTCACGGTCCTGAAAACTCATCTGGGTGCGGGATGGCATGACCCCTCCGGTGGAGGTAGGGGAAGGCAAGCGAGTGATATCTATAGAGCTGGAGAACAGCAGTGAGTAAGGCCGATAATAGCTGCAGACTGATACTACGAGGTTACGTGCTCCTACACTATGGCGCCAAAGATTATTCTTCACAAGAACAGGTTAATAATATTTCAAAAGGCAGCGGGTCCAAAACTGCACAAAGCAGTGGTGGAAGACGTCTCCGGATCCTTTACTAAAGTAAAAGTACAAATACTGGAAAAACACAAGTACATGTCCTGCATTCAAGCTGTTTTATGGTTGGAGCTGGTCAAGGCAGCGCTACTTTTAACGACTATATACACAATTAGCTCAGGACTCTTTTTTGTTGCGGGTCACAAGCCACAAGGTGAGGAGCCACTGGTTCAATCTTTAACAACCTGTTGGGATTTACAACCCTATCATTTGTTCAAATCTCTAGTAACTAGTAACTTCTTCTGTCTGATTAAAAGTAGGTCTATAATGTTTTTCTCTGAATTGCAGTGAAGTAGAACCTGAACATGTTCCTTTCCACCAAGAACAGAGAAATGAACAATCAAAGTTTAAGCATTTGACATCAAAGACAGCTGGTGATAAAAATGACAGTAAAATCCCAGATGTTTTGTGAAGCTGTTATAATCACAGAGGTCGCCTACCTATTAAGATCCCTCATCATGAGATTCTGAAACTCGGATGAGATGCCCCTGTTGAAGCTCGGCCGTGACAGCAGCCTGTCTGTCTGTCTCTCCGGGACCCTGTCTGTCTGGTGGCTGGGCTGCCTCTGGAGGTGCGGGTTACGCAAGGCCATGCTGATGTCATTCAGGAGGCGAGGCAAAGGACCCAGTTTTATGATGGCATCCTGTGGTTAACAGGAAAAAGAAAATGAGATTTGCTGCGGATTTATAAAATAATCTTTTTTTTTCTTTCATATCCAATGCAAGGGGTTTCATTAAAATGCCATGTATCCACCTCCGCTCACCTGGTGCTTGTAAAAGTTAATGACAGCTCAAGTTTGATTAATGACTCACAGCCTCATTTGGCAAAACGTTTCAGATGAGAGAACAGCAAGACATTTTTGAGACTGAATTGTTGAAATTCAGTGTTCAAGTGATATATCGAGTCTGAATTTGATGTAGTTTGGCAGCAGGGTAATAAAAACTGGAGTGATGTACAGGGGGTGGACACAATAAGACGAACTCCTGTTATAATATATTGTTATTCACTGCAACAGCTTAGAAAGAAGTAGGATTTTTGTTGTCAGAAAGGTGTTGACTGAACACTGGCAAATTCATTTAAACCCTGCATTGTTTTTGTCATGTGAAGCTATTATTTTTTCCCCTATACATGAGAGGGAACAATGTGGATGTCCAATCCCTGTATCGCAATGTGGTTAAAAATATAGAAACATTAGCACATGACGAAAATGAATAACTGAAAAACCCAAGAGATATCCTGCGTAAAATAATAAAAAAATAAAATAAAAATGTGAATGCAATAGTATATGTTTAGAAAATGTGTCCTTATATTATTTTTTGGGTTATGGTTATCGTGGCGTACAGTAAATTGATTACAAATACAGCATTATTAGCAACAAATAACAAGCAAGAAAATCAAGGAATGATGATTAATGAACCAAGAGATATCAAATTAAGATACTAAATGAAAAGGCACAAAAAATAATAAATGTTATTGGTTTTTTAAATAATGTTCCTAAGATAGTCATTAATTGCCATATCACTGAAATGAAAAAAAAAAATCTTACAATGTTAAATATATCTTATATGATATGGATGCAGTTTATAATGGAGTATAATTGTGTTTACCTTGCTGAGCTGAGCCATAACCTCCCATAGGAGACTGTGCAGTATAGACAGCTCCCTGCCCAGGTCGATGTATCCCTCAAAGCCGCCTGCATTGCTCACACTGTCCAGGTTGGAGATCTCGTACAGGAACTGCTGCATGGAGCCCCACTCCATCTCTAAAAACTCATTCATGAAACACATGTACTCCTCTTTACTGCCAAACCTGCAGGTGGGAAGTGGAGATAAGCAGGTGGGTGGTATGAAAGAGAAAAGAAAGTGACAGAGAAAAAAAAAACAAAAAAAAACAATAGAGTAACACATTAAATGTCAACTGAAATCGTTTTCCATGATAGTTGTTAACAAGAGCTTCTGTTTCTACCACAAAAATGTCCTCCATTCTAACTGCCATCGTTTTCAAGGCTAAAACATTACAATACATTTTAGGTGTGAATCCATGAACATATGCAAATGTGTTTGTTTAAAATCACACAGTGGTAAAAAAAAGATCTGTTGTACGATGACACAGTGTTGTTTTAGCATTACTCAGTTTAATGACTAAACTTTTAAAGTTTCTTGAACAATGAGGAAAAGAAGCAACAACTCGAGTCACTCTTCCATTAAAAATGTGTGTACAGCGACATATGGTCGCTTTTATTCACGCTACTTTTCATAGGTTCAGAGTCAGAGAGAAAAACTGGCAGCTAAACAGTAATGAATGTCTCCTATGGTGTAACCCAGAGTTCAGTTTTTGGGGCACTAATATTCACCATTTTCATCAACATACCCGAGTACAAATGTTCCAGGTGTTGGGTATTTTGCCTATATGCAGATGACACTGTCATTTACTATTGTGTCCATTGTCTCAGTCAAGCTTGTGTCTATATAAAGATTTTAGTTATTATTATGATCTAAATATAGTTTTGAATGCAGGTAAACTACTTTATTTCAAAATGGCTTCAGATCTTATTATGAGCATTTTGACTGCAGGGAAAGAGAGACTTAAATATAAAAATATTTGCAAATTTTATGTAAATGATGACCAGCTTTCTTTGTCACTTAACAAAGGAACACAGAATTAAAATTTCAGTTTAGAAAAAAGGGAAATGTAAGAAGAGATTGATGCTTCTGTGTTTAGCATCGATTCTGTCTAGCATACAGTAATGTACTGGTTAGCGACTGGCTGCAAAGAGTTAGAGCTGTAAATAAAATGAAATAAAACTGACTTGGAGAAGTTAGCCAGGTTTTGCACTACTTTAGCGATGAGCGTGAGTGTGCGTGATGTCTGCTCGTCGGGATACTCCTGGGTGAGGTTGAAGAGAGATGGGGACATGATGGCAGGACACAGGAAGCGTAGAAAGAGGGAACCGCTGATGAGGCGGTCTGCGATGTCTTCCCGACCCCTCTCAGCGCAGCGCACTCTCCAGGAGGCAAAAACTTCCTTTAGCTCTCGAGGGAAAACACTGTGAAGGGACACGTCAGGATCAGGCACAAACTGTGGCGAGTTTCTCTACTTCCCAGTGAAAGAATCTCAAGCCTCATGTATCTTTAATATAGCAGCGAGGAAAAAACACACTCAATACAAAGGATTATTATAATTTTTTCCAACTGACCAATGGGAGTTGACAATCTTGCAGAGCGCCAGTTCACAGCACATTCGGAGATTGGCTTGGTGGTCTGGGAGCACAGAGGGTGGTGTTCTCATGGGGTCCACTTCACAATTTTCCTCTGACTCATACAAGGCCCTTATGAACTCCCCTACAAATGACATTTTATTATTAACAGCAAAACAGCATGTTCAGAGTTGTTAATACAGAAAGCAACAATAACGACCAACAATATAAAAGAAATCCATTATAATCCATTTTAAATAATGGCTGCAAAACCAGGAGGCTAATAGCTACCTGCTACCTTAAAAAAAGTCAAGTGATAGTTTAGGTATTTAGTCAATTATTTCCCTTGTACTATCTGCAGATGGTGGATTATGCTGGGAATAGTAGCCCCAACTCCTAATGTAATTGTCAGGTGTTTATGTGTTGTACAAACATTCATGCATAAAACTGGGATAACCAGTTTTATGTACGAGGAGTTTGCACAGTGTGCTAAAAATATTAAGCCCTTCCCTTCCCTCTATGTTTGAGAGCTGCCTCTTATTTCCATCGACATCAGGCACTTGAGCTGAGCTAGGATAATCACATAATTCAATATTTCTTCAAATTCCACAAGGAAATATAAGAAAAACCCGCCTGACTCTGGGTAAGTCGGAAAATAATAAAATTCCCAAACAAACCAAACTATCTCTTCAAAAGAGAAAGTGGGAAACAGTATCTTAGAGAAGATTTTTTTTTCCCTTTAATTAAAAGTTGTGTCATTCCAAAAGTTCATCTCCTGAATCTGAAATTAACTTGAAATTGATGTGAACAATTCACAGCTGCTTTAGTTTATACAGTACTAAACTCGAAGGTCACGAACCCCGCTGTTCTGGCTCACCTATAGCATCCTTGAGGTACTTATGTCCAATCAGTTTGAGGTACTCTTCTATGGCTTTGGTGGCCAGAGTGTTCTCTCTGAAGATAAGGTGTTCTCGGTCGATGAATCTGTCTACCTCACACATCGCCATGTCTGAGAGGAAATCCTGGAGAAACAGAAAAAACTCAATTATTGCTCTAAAGGTTTTGATGACAAGAATAGAAAAAGAAAGCTGTTTTAGATCAGTCTGACAGATACCAAAAGGTCAAACAGAGGAATCAGTGTCCCGTACCTTAGCTTTTCCCGTGCTCTGCAGTATATGCACCAGCGCACAGGCCACTTCCTCTTTGCTCTTCACACTCAGCACGGGCTCCAGCACAGCACACATGGTGCGGTAGTTATTGGTGACGTACTCTGCGAACTCCTTGTACAGCTCCATGGGCAGGATGTTCATGGTCTGGAAGCGGGATTTGAGGCGTAGGGATGCGTTGATGATCTTCCCCCCTCCCACACCAGCTCCCTTGGTGAGGACGCTGGGCTGGATGACCGGGTACCACTGCTCCACAAACTGACGTCCAGTGATGCTTGAGATGGGGATGCTTACAAGCCCTAAGTATGTGCTCTTTTCCTTAGGGGGGAGGGGGAGCACATATTAGTCGGGATAACCATGTGTCAAAGAAATGTATTTTACAAAAATGTGAAATGTAAAAAAAAAAGAAAAAGAGAAGTTCATTCAAGTCTGCGGCCCTGAATTAATAATGAGTAGCAAGACTAACACTGGGTCCCGGGAGTGTTGTTTGAAGCTAGAAATTAGTTGTTGGTGGTGCTACTCTTGTAATAAATTGAGAGTAATAAAAATGATCACATTTATGACTTAATTTTTTTGTTTCTAAAATGTTTTATTTTTGACAAACTCAAAAAAATATATTTTTCTTGTCAAACAACAGAAAATGGCCCAAACGCTGTGAATGAGCAGGGGGTTTATAGGGTTCTTCATCCATGGCATGACTCATGATTACGACCTTAATTATTACCATTGTTTCTGGCTTTTTTTTTTTCCTTTTGAGCCGGCACTTCATTTTGGACAGACGCACTGTTGATTGACAACACTCACAATTTCCATCCATTTCAAACTATGGACGTTGCATAACTGTTTTGTTGTTACTGTTGCTACTGCTACTCACAGTATAATTCAGCATCTCTTTGCTGTTGTTGAAATGATGCTCTACTGAACAAAACTGCACATTTCTGTTGTGAAAATGTTGGAGGAGCAGGAGCTGTTCCAGGGTTCATAAAGATTTTCTACCAAAACTCACCTCTAGGAATATTTGAGTGTTTCAGTATTTTTATTCCCTTATTTATTCAAACCTGCAGTAATTTAATTATTAGCCACTTTGGGGAACCAGAAACGTAAGAAGGTTGTGCTTGTTTACACATGTAACATTTACAAAGCTAAATTATCATTCATTTGAAGCCAAGTTGGTTAAAGTAAGTTCTTTTTTAGCTCTGCTTTTGGTCTCCACCAACAACTCCTGAGGGAAATATCTGGCTCTTTAGCTGCTAAATGCTGCACTACATTCACCAGCTAGTTGTTAGCTGTGTCTGTGAGCAGGTAGTGTGAAATGGCTTTTTATAGCTTTGCTGCCGCACACAGCTGTTGGTGACAGTGACGCTAACCTTGGGGCTGAACAGATAAACAATGAACTGAAAACTTGTTATAAAACTCCATAGAGCTGCACATCGCAGACTCAGGTGCTGATTCAATCCCTTTCACACTGTCAGATTGCTATTATAAAAATATGGATTATAGCCACTTTAAAATTCTCTTGTATCTATATTTGAGTGAGTAATTGTATTCCCATTGAGTCACAGTGCAGCTTTATGGAGCAGGGAGCTAAAATAAACCAAATATTTCTGCACTGCTTCTGTCTTGATTTTATTATAACAAACTAGCCGCTCTCAGACCTCCATGTTACAGATCTCTTTGTCACCTTGCGTCTCTTCTTGTCCGTCTCCTTGTATAGATGAAGGCGTAGGTTGCGGACGGCTGGCAGGTTGTTGAATTCAAAGTGCTCGCCCCAGAAAACGGTGTCAGTGCGGGGCTTGCTGGTGGTACGTGCGTACAGCATGTCGTCCAGGCAAAGTTCGCAGTAGTAGCGTTTCTTGGCTGGAAGCTCGCGGGCCTCGATGATCCACAGTTTGAGCACATTGTCCACCCTCCGGCTGTTGTCCTGCGTGGAGATGAAGTAAGGTCAAATAAGGTCAAGTGCATCTAATAAAAGAAGTCATTATTTAAAAAAAAAAAAAAGCTTTACAGAGAAAAGGGGATATGATGCAGGGGAAAATATGTTTAACAGCAAAGAAACAAGATATAGAAGCAGAGACAGTGTGTGCGAATGAAGGGCGACAGCAGGTCAGCCTGCTGGAGAACAGAGTAAATGACAGGAAAGAAATGGCAGGTGACATGGTGGTTGATCTACTGTGGCTGTACTTGATAAATTGCCATCAACTCTGGACTTTAATACAGCGACAGAAGACGGCACGACAGAGACACACAAAAGAAAGATTTAAAAAATATGAAGGGTAGGAGGAGAAGAGCGGTCTAACTGGCTGAAAAAAGTAATGCACAAACGGACAAATGACACAATGCACATGTGCTACAAAGACAGGGGACAAACAATGGTGGTAATGTTTCTGTAGACAGCTACACTTCCTAATCATGATCACAAAGCTCAAGCTATATTTGACATCCCCCATGGGAGGAGAGAGTACCGTGCTGATTGCAGAGTGATGTTTCAGCGAACGGGGGGGCTGAGTCATTTCAACTGGGCTGAAATGCCATTGTTGTTAGCCCCCTGTTTGCTTCAGACTATTTGAGTCCTAATTTAGACAGCTCAATGCGTGAGCATCAGCGAGATCCATAGCTCTTAAGTTCTCCATTTGTATGCTCTTTGATAACCAGCGCCAAACACAAGACATAATTAATTCCAAACCTCTGAGTTTGAATGTGCTGGGCATCTGGTGGCTCAGTTTGCTAGTGCACATACAGTGCAGCAACATCAGTATGGGCTCGAGTCCTCTGCCTTGATACGTTACATCCTCCCTAGTTTCGGTCTTATCTCGATTTCACTATCAAAAAACTACTAAAACACTAAAGCAGGGTGGAGTGGCTGCTATGCTTTAAAAAAAAATAATCAAAAAAACACCAAACAATCAAAGTTCAAAGAGGGATTTAAAAGTCCTTGTCTCTGCAGTGAGTCTTATCGCTGTCAATGCATCTGCTCCGAGATGCTCGGTGCATGTTGTTTCGGGGGAGAAGGGGGGGGGGGGGGGGGGGGGGGGGGGGTGGGGGGGGGGGGGGGGGGGGGGGGGGGATTTTGGAGACAGCCCCCACATGGAGTCCTTGGAGCACCATGACTCAGCCAGGACCCCCGCAGCCCGAGCATCTGGACAAGGCATTCAGCTCGGGTGATGTTTCAACTCAGTCTTGCTTAATAACTTGTAAGTCTCTGGTTGCCATCAAAGCTGCATATCTTGCACACCCGCTCACTTTTTTAATAACACAGCGGGGACATATGGGACAATTTCACAGAATTATGAAATCCGGGTGAGAATTAGGATGTTGGTTTGAGCTCTGAGCTGATATGAAGGACTGAGATTTGTTTTCTTTTTTAAATCACAGTACATTAAAGCTGCACGAGGAAAGATTTTCATGTGAAAATACTAAATCTTATCTTCCTGATGACACAGTAAAGCGCGCTCTCATCTGCGCTAATTAATTATCATACGGACACACTGACATTAGGCTTCATGCAAGAACATTTTCACCAAACTCTCCCAACTGGACGAACTTGTCACAAAGCTCAGTGAACGCCACCTGTTCATGAGATTGTGCACATTTCGTGATATTTGATCATTTGGTATAATCAATGCCCCTAAAACAGCCATATTAGGCTACCTGTTCAAACCCAAACAGGAAAAAGGAAGAATTTCACATCGCAGAGCTTCAAGTACTGCTCTTGGAAACCAGCAGACGAAAGAAATGAAAATGACAAAAGTTAAGCAGTGTCAGGAGTCATATCAGAGGACCCGAAATGATTAGAAAATAGTAAAACTGCCAATGAAGAGGGAAGGGACATAAAGTTACATGCTAAAAACGGGGGAAATGACAGTCACGAGTGAATATCGTAGGCCTCAGCAGGTTTATGGTGCAACGATCAGTGATCCTGGACAGGGACCTGAGGCAGCTGTCACACTGCGAGAATTTTCCTCTCAGTATTATATTCAAACTTACACATCTGTACATGACTTGTGGATTTAGTTCACACCTAAAAGAAAAATTCTAATTTCAAGAAACTGATGAATGCCACAAATTGTCTTCTATCACCCGAACATGCCGCCTAAGAGCGAACCTGTCCGTATGTGTGCGTCTTGCATGAGGCCTGATGTCTCTTAAAGAGCAGTGAGGAAGAGAGGAAGCAGGATTCACAACGTTAGATCTTCTACCTTTTGTCCCCTCAGTACCCTGTAGTATCATGTATCACAGACATGCTGGGCTGGTAAACATCAGCCTGCTGTGTGCAATTTACTGACATCACATTACCTGATTTGTGGATATCAATGTTTTTTTTTTTTTTTTCGAAAACAGCAATTTGAATCCTCCACCCTGCAACGTTACCTCGTGTAGCTTCAATATTTGCTTGGAGAAGCGGCTAAATTGTTCAGCACAGACACACACAGACACGAGGATGGAGTTCACACAGAGAAATGAAGCGGTGCGCTCTTATTGAAAACAGACAACAACGGGAGACGGGGAGGAGAGAGAGAGACACACAGACAGAGGGATCATCCTTTTTTTTTTTTTTTCCTCCTCTACCGCATCCCTTTCTCTCCCCTCACCTTGTTGGGCTTGACAGCTCTCTGCAGGTTCTCGATCCATTTGTCTCTCTCTGCAGCTGAGCGACACGCAAAGCACTTGGTTCCCGATGCCGTAGTCACCTGAGGTTATAGCCAATGGTAAATTCAACAACCACAGCCATTAGTTACTATGGAGACTGCAACTAAGGCGCCAAAACAATGTCTTGCATTCACTCTCAACCTCTGTCATGTTCCACTAATGGAAAGGTGATGGACAATCTAACAGACTCCTGCAGCAAATTATATAGGGACTAGGGCTCATTTTCACTGTCCTTGTGTCTTCCATTTTTTAAAATATGAAAAAAATTATATTTTCATTTCACATCAGTGTCACTTGTGAGGATGAAACAAGAGTTTTGTTGCTATTGACTGCTCTGTACACTTCACTGTGAGTGTGAGTGTGGTGTTGCTTGTCCACACTGTGCAGCTCAGTTCTCACCTCAAAGCAGTACTCTTGTCCCAGGATGCTCGAGTGGACAGGTTTGATGATGGCGTCCTCGTCCAGAGTGAGGTCCAGCGCCTCAGCGGCGCTGCTGGGAGACAGCAAGGACTCATGGGAGTGGGACTCTTTGAAGCTCTGCATCAAACGGGTCCTGGGAGGAGTGATAGTTGTGGTTAGATGTGGAGAGGAGAGAGAGAACAGCTCTTTTACTGAAGATGGGCTTACGCTTCGGTTCTGCGCACAAAAATATAAAAGAAATGGTTTTTGTCCAAATATGGCAATTCCATGTTAATTTTCAAATTCAGTCGGTTTTATAGAAGCAGATTTCACCCATAAACCGTAAGTAAAGATGGACGTAGCCTCTGTGACGTCACAGGTTTCTGTACAGCGGTTTTGAAGCTCAGATTTCGCTGCGTAATAAAAAACAATGGAATGGGTGAGTTATATAAAAATTCACTCCTGCACAGGCTGTAAACATATATCTCTGCTCTAAAAGGTGACTCGCTTTTGGAGTCAGCCTCAAGTGGTTATTAGAGGAACTACAGTTTTTGGCACGTTGGTGTTGGCTTCATTTTTCAGCCGCGGAGGTTTTTGGTTGATTTCATCAAAACCAACGTTTCTTTTCATCTTTATATTTGTGTACTGACAATCAGCGATATACAATGTATTTACCTACAACATTAACACATCACTTATAAATATCTAGCACCTGGAAAAAGACATTAAAGCAAACTGCCATCAGGAAAAACCTCATATTTCTATCCTAAAAATGCAATTACATTTCTTTTAAGACACAATCGTAAGATATATTTTACATTTCAATTGTTCCTGCTAAGATGTTGCCTTCACTGTCTTTATCATATATCTGACTTTTCAACATTTTAGCTGCTTTTGCCAGTGACAGCAAGTAATTAATAATTAGTCAAAGCTATTAACCTTGTATCACTAAAAGGCAAAGAGAAAGAAAGATGAAAAACACGTCAGCCACTGAAAAATAGAGCAAATCCCTTAAAGTGTCCTCTCTAAGTGATCTAACAGACAGCTGTGATGTGAACAGACACATCAAGCCTCTGTTGCCACAAGGTTCATTGGTTGAATTTGAAAGAAAATCCAGTAGATTGAGTGGACAGCAAAGTGACTCTGATCCCGTGCACTTATTCTGAAACACTCATTACGACCTTGTTTGAAATGTAAATGATTGCTTGTATCATATCATCAATTACACAACATCAAAAGGATATTTTGTTTTTTTCATAATGCATTACAGTTTTGTCTTTTTTTGCAGGTTTGGAAACCAAAGATTTAAGAGGACTGCACTAAATATTAACCAGATATCTTAACTTTTGGAATTAGTATTTGCACAGCTGTCTTTACACATATATCCAGTCTTTTCCCTCCAGGCAAAACATTTTTAAACTCCACACACGATATTTTCAAATAATCTTTATAATATCATTAATCCTGACACAGATACAGTATGCACAAGACTCACACTAACAAGTGAACAGGGTTTCCACTAAAGCCTGGCCATCATGCTCACCTACACACTTCCTCCCACACACACACACACACACACACACACACACACACACACACACACACACACGCATGCACGAAGTAGGTAAAATTACAGACCAGCTCAGCAGAGAGTCACTGAGACAGATGTATGATGACACAGTTAGTCTAACCAGAGAGCGACAAGGGACGGTCAGGTGTGATGAAGCCCCTCAGAGAAGAAAAGGGGGATGAAAAGGAGGAAAAAAAAAAAGAGAAGGATACTGTAGAAAAAAATACTGTTTATCCTCCGTGCTGCATCCGACTCTCTGCCTCTCCCCTGCGCTTGCACTGCTTTTGTCTATGTTCAATCATAACGTTCATCAACAGAGCACTGATTACATGTAGGGGACCAGGGGGGAGAGAAACAGAGAGAGAGAGAGAGAGAGAGAGAGAGAGCGAGAGAGAGAGATAAAAATAGACCCAAAGGAATGAGTCAGATTGAAGAGAATACAGAGAAGAGGAGAGGAGAGAGAGAGAGTGGGGGAGGTCATGAGAGGATGTGAGAGAAGGAAAGACTGATAGAGACAGAGGTGAGGGGTGGGCGATCGAGGGAGAAGACTTCTCAGAGGAAATCACGTTGATTATGTAAACAGTGGATCCTTTGGACAGGAAGAAAGTGAGAGCGAGGATGAGAGACAGGAGGGAAGGAAGGAAAGACGTGAATAGGTCGGAGTGGATGAAGTGATGGGGAAGAGAAAGTCTCAGTGGGAAGACGACACACACACACACACACACACACACACAATCGAGGGAGAAGACTTCTCAGAGGAAATCACGTTGATTATGTAAACAGTGGATCCTTTGGACAGGAAGAAAGTGAGAGCGAGGATGAGAGACAGGAGGGAAGGAAGGAAAGACGTGAATAGGTCGGAGTGGATGAAGTGATGGGGAAGAGAAAGTCTCAGTGGGAAGACGACACACACACACACACACACACACACACACACACACACACACACACACACACACACACACACACACACACACACACACACCTTGCAAATTATACCAAACACGTCACGACTGATGAGCCGCACATCTGAGAAAACACTCAGCAGCAGTAATGACAGACTAGACACAAGGGTTGATTGAGCAGATTCAAAACTCTCAAACAAATGTGGTGAAACTGAGAACTATTGTTTTGTGCTTCGTTGCAGTGAACAGCTGCTTCTCTGTTTTAAATCATTTCAAATGGAAAACCTGTGATTTCTGGACAGTTTGTTGATCAAAGTGAGACATCAGAAGAGGCTATGTTGCGCTTTCTGAACCTTTCTGGACATTTTATCCTTATTCTTTGTCACTGATGATAAATGACTAAATCATAAAATGGTCAACAGATGAGTAAACAATGAAAAGAAATGTTTGTAGCAGAGTTAGTCGTGTTTAACTAATATTAAAAGGATTGAGAGGCTAGCTGAAAGCTACATTTCTGACAAAAGTAATCGCCAACAATTTGGATGGCTGATTCTTCAGGAGCAGGTTCCAAATGTGAGGATTTAATGTTTTTCTATCACTGTATTTTCACTTTCGACAGCTGGTCGAACAAAACAAGACACAGGACAGATGCCTCGCTGGCTCTCTGGGAAACTGTGATGAACAGTTTTGACTATTTTCTGACCTTTCAAAGACTACACAGTGAACAGTTGACGGTTGTTTTCTCGATCAATTGAGAGCAACAACATTGATTGATAATGACAATCATAGTTGTAACCCTACACTGTATGTAAGAGTCAAATCTGAGCAGCTCAAGATGGATAACAGAAGGATCAGAACGATTCTTATTCAAAAAGTTCTGACTGAAGTTGATGAGAGGCTATTTGGATATGTCAAAAAAATGTATGGAAAATAATTACTAACAAATTTAACAGCTGGTTATTCATTTCTATCACTCATCGGGTAAAAAAGCTCAATATTAACAGAACCAGCTTCTCAAACATGAAGATTTGATGCTTTTCTGCTGCATTTAATTGCAAACTGAATATCTTTGGGTCTTGGACCGTTTGTCGGACAAGACATCACCTCTGCCTGCGGGAAATTGTGATGGGCTTTTTCATTATGTAGCAACATTTTTATAGGCTAAACAATTAATCATTTAATTAAAAAGTAATCACCAGGTTAATTGATAACAAGGATATAATGTGCCCTAATTTGTGGGGCAGAAAACCTCTTAAATTGCCAGGACACCGAACCTGTCTGCTGACAAAAAGGACAAGACAATTTTTTTCATATCACTAGTTTGCTTAACAATTAATTGATTAATTGAGAGAGTAATTGAAAGATTAACCAATAATGAATATACCCAGAAAATGCTCTCAATCTATTTAGGTCATCACAGGCAAATATATAGTATAAGAGTTATGAGCTGAGTGAAAGAGTGGCCTACAGTATTGTACAGGAAGAAACTACAATGACAAATCAGTGAAAAGAAACTATTGACAACCAATGTGTAAAAATATATATCAGAGCAGGTTTTAGAGCCTGTTTGGGAGCTCGGAGACATGCTTATGGCTGCATGAATTTCAATCCATGCCAAAAAAGGGCATGTGTTCTCAGCAAACCCTCCCTGGATAAATAAAGATAAAAAAAGGGAATAATAATGAACAAAGCTGCAGATGTTCACCGACATCCCTGACAGAAAACATCCAGAGAAAACCAGGAGCAGTGAAAATGGGTATCAGCCGTGAGGGCCTTGGCAAACAACCTCGACTTCACAAGACTCTTGACTTTTTTGTCCGTTCTGTGTCTCCTCAGACCAACCAGGGATAATAGACATTCACAACCTTTCCAAATGAATAAATCATGTGGAAATGCACCTTGGCAGACACCTGGCTCAGAAAAGGTTCTCTCCTGAGTGCACGTTTGCCCTGTGTTTAAACTATCAAGATGACCTTGTTCACATTTGAAGTTTGAGTTGGTCTTGGCTGTAGCTGTCCGGCGGGAGCTTACAGATAAACTGGATGGATAAAATTATAGCTGAAACAATTAGTTGGGGCTGCACAATTAATCAAAATATAATTAAAATCGCAATATGGCCAAGTGCAATATCCAAATCACAGGAACTGCAATTTGCAGGAGCTGCAATTTTTTTTAATGAAGGTAAAATGTGTCACAACAGTATTAATAGTGTAAGTGTTGTGGTGCTACAGGGACGCCCCACCCTACAAATCATATTCTCCGGACATAAAGGAACAAGTTTGTTTGGTACAAGACCCAACAAAAATCACATCATCATTTTTCAATCCTCTTCAGTGAAAATGAAAAGCAAAAACAACTGAAGTCCCATATCGCAATTGCTGCCAAAATAATTGCAATATGATTTTTTTCTTGCAAATTGTGCAACCCTATTATTAAACATTATTCGACAGAAAATTAATCAGCATTTTATTTTTTCCAAGCAAAAATTCAAACATTCTTTTGTTCCAGCTTCTTAATTGTGATGGGATAATAAACTGAATGAACAAAACAAGCAAAGCATCACATTAGACTTTATCTGATTGTAAAGCGTGTCGTCTTTTTAGCATTTTATCAAATGTTATCGATCAAACAGATACTTGATTAATTGAGAAAATAATCACAGTAAAGATAGATAACATTACCTGTAAAACTGTGAACCTCAAAAATGATAGAATATATTCTTCCATCTATTCCTGTTTTCTTCCTCAAAATAAAAACCTCCCTGTAAAAACTTCTGTCCAACCAACTGAAGGATTTCTCCCTAAAAAAACCCCATGCACCTCTGGTGCTGCTGGGCCTGAAGAATCCCTGCGCTGCAACAACTATGTACAGGATACAGAGGAGGTATAATTAAGCAAATCTCCCACTGACTCATTATGGTCTATACAGCTGCCATATGGCTGTCTGCTGGTTGCCATGGAGAGAGCGGGGATGTTTTTTTTCATCGGCCCGGCAGAGAAACAGCAACGGTGCTGAGTGTGACACTGCAGTGGGACATGAATGTGTAAAATAAACGACAATTCATTACAATGATAGATGGAGATAGAGAGAATGACAGATTAAGATAGAGACTGAAATAGAGATAGATAGATAGATAGATAGATAGATGTAGGAATTAATATCTATTCCTACATTTATCTATTTATTGTTTTTTATGATCGTCAGTCAAATTAGATAATAAAAGAAAGATTCTATGGCATTCATGTATTTGTTCATGTTAAACATGAGTGCATGATGCCATACAACAATGATAATCGTATCACATCTGCACAGGCTTAGTAGAATACAGCTGTTTTAATGCAACGGTATCAGGTGCTTGGGATCTGCAGATACACAAGTCCAAGTATCGCAATCAGTATTTGGGAAGGAATAAATGGTATCAGATCATCTCTAATATATAGATAGATTCTAATCTAACCCACCCATCCATTGCTAATGCTCATTTATCCTGATAGGAGGCTGGACCCCAGCATGCATACGTAGGGTGACAACCTGGACATGTCACCAGTGTCACACAGGGATCCTCGATAAAACAGTCAACTGTAAAATGCGAAATTCTTGAATTTTCCCTCCATCCTCCAGGAAAACATCACACTGTCGTGTACCAGTAAACACACTTCTGGTCCTAACTCAAAAACATCATAACACATTCCTGTGCAGCCTTCCCCTCATCTAATAAAACCTGCACTTTTTCCTAACTGACTCTGATCCTGAATTGGTTTTAAATGACCACTAACTGCATTATGGCCCATCGCAACATCCAGTTTCAATCAGAAAGATGCTTTAGATTGTATAAGCAGGAGGGAAAGTGAATTGCTTGAGATGCCGTAGCATGCATTACACAAACAGACTGGGAGAAACAGATTTCATACATAAATGCAGCTACACACTGCAGGGCCAAACACAGCCAGACACAGCAGACTAATCCACATGTGAATGCTCGAAATCACTCACACACACTCAGTCACTGACCTGTCTTGGTCGGCACTGCGGAAGCGGGGGAGGATCATGTGGCGGAAACTGCTGGTTCGGTCCAGTTTGGGCTGACTCTTAGCCCTCTTGATCGAGCCCTTCAACCTTCTACTGAGGAAACTCTGGAGCGGGTGGAGGAGGAGAGCAACAACAAGGGCAAACAGATGGAAAAGAAAAGGGAGGACGTGCATGACGCGGAGTCACAGAGACGGACATGTGGTCGGCGTGAGTCGGAGAAGATGAGTGGTTGAGTGATGAAGAGAGGACAGGAAATTCAGGTGCGGTTTGAAGAGGAAGATTGACAAGTATGATGACAAAATAAACGCAGATGATTCCCATGAGGTCGGTGTGGTTTGTGTCAGATGTGTGTGTGTACCAAAATCACATGAAGACACACGTACACACAAATGAAACACATGATGCGTGATGGGGGAGAGCACAAGGTAAATTTATTATGAACAAGAAACCACACATGTCCACTTGCCACAAAGAACTGCAGTGTCCTAACAGATCCTGTGGTGGGCAGTGCTGTGCCACACAGTCCAAGTCTCACACAGGGGTGCAGATTGTCCTACACGTCCTTATAAAAATCACAGTCGATCAATAGTTCATCGATAAGTGACATGATGACACGGGGTCCGTCCCAATACCCACACTTGGGGTATTTGCGATTCATGATTAGTCAGGTGTCTACGTGTGTGACGTATTTCTGGTTATTGCCACAGTGCCCAGGACATCCCGCCACGAATGCAAATATAAAAACTGTACATGGCTCTGAGGTGTCTGTCGGAACAAATAAGTCGGATCAACCACACATTACTGCAGCTACAGTCAGAGGGAAAAACACACATTCAAGAGCTGACAGGACTAACACAATTAATTAAGCAATTTAAATCAAGTATTTAGAAGCACGTTATTTTGAACGGTTTCTGTTTGATGCCACTGTTAATGATGCATATTTCTATAAATCTTTGATAAAAGGATATGATATTCAATATTTATCTTGACAGTATCAGATTTTCCATATCATTCTCATCAAGCTCATTTTGAACCGGTTGGTAATATTAAGTGAAAACCATCTGTGGAGGTTCTGCCGTCACTTTGTGTCTGGACATGATTATTGTAAATTCTGCATCCGACATGTTTCTAAAACAAACGTACAGGCGCACTACCGCCAACAACGGGACTGCTACGGAGCAGTAGACCGTGGTGAATTGTGGGATACGCTTAGCTCTGAACACCACTTCAAAGTGGTACCGGGAAAAGTGTGCATTAAATGCAGGTTAAGTGTATTGTGTGTTCATTTTTCTAAAGTGGGACACGCTCATCTTCTACCTGGCAGTGCGTGAACATGCAAGTGTGGGTACTGAGACAAGACCTTCGCTTTGCAGGACCATCCCGCCTCCAAGAACCTGGTTGGACAGACTTACACCCGTAAGTGTGACCAGTTCTTACTACAGAGCCCTGCACACTGATCAATTCAAAAAGGCATTTTTGTTAAGTTAATGATGATAGCATTTTGATTTTGAAAGAGGTGGGATATTTTCTTATTCCACTTCTTTAAAGAAATGTATTCTACTTTGTATCACGATAAATAATTAAAATAACGTCTTACCTTCTAAAAAAATCTTTGGAAAAAGTGAAACTACACCAAAAAAAATGTGATATTTCAATTAATCGATTAGTTGTTTTCTATCAATAATATTCTGTTTGACCGTATTGCAAATTGAACATCTTTGGGTTTTGGATTGTTGCTCATGTAAAAAAAAAAAGCAATGCAATGACATCACCTTGGGCTCTGCGAAACTGTGCCTGGCATTTATCACAATTCTTGACATTTTCATAGACCAATCGATTAATCAGTTAATCAACAATATGATCTGCAGATTAATTAATAATGAAAATAATTGTTAGTTGCAGCCCTTGATATTTCCTGCCTAAATGAAAGGGTTTTCATTCCACAAATAACATTTTAAAACAATGACATTCTTACGTTTGCAAACCTTAAAACTTTACAATGTTCACTGTGAAAGTAACTTGAGTGCAAAACATGCATGAAATATCACTTAATGATTTTCCTGCCCTCAAGAAGCTTCACCCATTCAGCTTTCAGGTGCATCCTGAAGGCTCACAGTAATATCATTTATGTACCTATAGCATAACAGCATTATTCAGTGGGAGAATGACTGCAGGGAAATGACACCTCGTCATCTGGCATGAGTCAAATGGCTTTGAAGCCTGTCTTGAGGATATGACTAAAGACTTGGCTCCATCTGCTGGTTCCAAGCTAATAGCCTGCATGACTAAATCTGATTTGATTTGCCGCTCCGTCTGACACTTTAAGTCTCAAGAAGTAAAAGTATTCAATACAGAGAGAGAGAGAGAGAGAGAGAGAGAGAGAGAGAGAGAGAGAGAGAGAGAGAGAGAGAAAAGCCTGAATCACAATAAACCACAATGAAGTGGGTTAACAGTGAGACGGGGGGAGCATCAACTTCATCTCCAGTGGCTACGTTTGCATGAACAAAAAAGGAGATCACTGGTGTCATTCAGTGTTTCGGCTCAATTTGCTGCTGTGCACATTTACTGGACGTGTGTAACTAGACGGTAATTTTTTAAAACACTAATTGTCAAACTTGGCTGAAAATGAACGTCTGAGCTCATGTAAAAGCTCAAAATGACCAGGGGTGTAGTGGAGTCTTGGTAGCTGAGTACACTGTGGTGGCATTGAGCAGCACATGCTCTGCACTTTACTTGAGTATTTCATACTACTTTATACTTTATACTCCACTATAATGTAGAGGAACGTACTTTTTTCTACAACAACAACTACAACAGTAAAATGTTTTTTTTTTTTTTTTTACACATTAATCCATCAACATTTGCTGGTTCCAGCTTCTTAAATATGAGGATTTGATGCTTTTCTTCACCATTCATTAACGTAAACTGAATACACTGTATTTCACTATTTGTCTCTCGGTCGGACAAAACGAGACATGTGAAGACGTGACCTTAGACCGTGAGAGAGTAAACTGGAACTTCTCAGTTTTGCAACCTATGATACAAGGTATAATAGTGGCCCGTTTCCTGGATTGTGGGTATTCTTATTTGTGATGATCTAAGTGCATTTTACTGATAATATCCTCCTGACATATTTTACTTTAGTGACATTTTTAATGGAGGATTTTTACTTGTAAGGGAGTATTTTTAGATTTTAGTGCTGCTACGTTTACTCAAACATTTTATCCACCCGACCGATCGACAACTAACTCGTAACTGCGTGGTGCATCACAGCTTTTTCACGTAAAGTGCCTTGGTGTGCTCAGGTCACATCTGTAGTTGTGTGCGCCTGATTAGCTAGCTTCTGGTGTTTTAACTGTACTCATCCATGTCAGGGATCCCTCTAAGTAGGTTGGGGTTTATGGAATGACAGCACGTGAAGTTTGTCTGTGAGAAAGTGCTTTTCCTCAGGCTCGGTGCCGTTTTAAGGGAACACTTCTTTTGCCTGAGAGGAGGCATTGCCTTAAAGACTAAAGTCAGGGATCAAAACTCTCCCATAAACAGTTAACATCACTGCTAGCAGGTAAGACTCTAACATGATTGGCTGCAGTCTTGGGACTCTTTCTTAAGATGTCTATTTCTTCCACAATGTGTCAGGTGTTTGACAGTAAGATGCGAGGAAATCACGAAGCCTGTCTACGTCTGCTGAAAAGTATTGTCTGCAGTCTACATTTACACTGTGACACTCCGCCCTTCTGCTTCAGGCTTGCTCATCCTATCCGATCAGAGAAGCTGAAATATTGATATGAAAACACTCTTCTCAGCCACTATGAAATAATGATGAAAGACGAAAAACTCTGACCAAACCAAACTGAAGCTTCACATTTACTCTAATGGATCATCTGGCTTCAGCAGTTTTCAAGTCTTCTATTTTTTTCGGTCCTGGTTTTTCTTGTGGAAACCCTGTTGTATATAGTAGACTTACAAAGTGCTTTACAACACCATGAAATAATAAATACGTCACTTGAAGAACAATCTTTAAAAGTGGGTTTTCAGCATGACAATGGAAAATTATAGGCATCATCCTTCGTTTATCTATTTTTTTTTCTTTTGCTTTTTAGTCTTTATGTAAATTTTTCCAATCTCTTTTCTGCTCTGATTGTCCTGTTTGTTTTGTGCTGTCTGCTTGATGTTTATGCTTACACTTGATTGAATGTGAGAGTTTTTTTGCATGTGTGTTGGGGAGAATTTGCCTCCCTCGCATATTCATGAAGTTCTATTATTCTATGTCCTTTATGATGGTACTTAAATTCTGCAAACAAACAAATTAACTACACGCAGAGCAGCATATTAAAATAAATCTGCACTTAAACTGCATTACCACACAATGATGAGGTAACTTTGAGAAACATTCATGCAGATTAATGTGTTCCATCACACAATTCAAGCGCGTTTCAAGAGTCCACTAATTGATACTGTTGGGAAATTAATGGAGATCGATGACTGCCATAAAGGTAGGAAAAATAATCCACAAAATTAAACATTTGAAAACCGTGAGTTTGTTGTTAGGTTGTGAAAACTTGCAAACGCAGTGGTATGGCCCTTTAACATGTAGCACACAGACTTCAGAGACCTGAACTGAAAGGTGTGAGTTGTTCCTACGTTTCCACACTACGCTATATATACAGGCCTCTTCACTCTGGCAAGGTGTTCACACCTGTAACCAAATGCTGGTTATATGAATATTTGTGGTACATGTAAACGTAGCCAGTGTCTCTGCTTCAGCTATGTTTGTGTCACATACCTCAACAGGGGGCAGTGGTGCAATAAACGTTCCTCCCGCCACTGGACTCGAACCGGCAGCCCTCCAGTCTCCGCCCCAGTACGAGAAGGGGGGGGAGGAGGAGGCGGCAGGCGAGTGGGGCAGGGTGAAGGACAGGGAGGGGGAGAGGGGCAGCGAGTGGGGCAAGGGAGGCGTGCCGGGCCCTTTCTTCGAGCCCTTTTGCTGCTGCTGGTGCTGCTGCTGGCACAAGGCGAAGGAAGGGGAGACGGCCAGGGAGAGGGGGAAAGGGTGAGGCGGGGTGCCGCTGGCCCGGCGGCCACAGGTGTGGGGCGGGCCCAGGGCGGGAGGAGGGAGGAGGGACAGCGAGAGGGACGGAGGTAGCGAGCGAGGCCGGGAACAGGGAGGGTTACTCACGGATTGTCGGAAGGGTTGAAGGGGGGCAGTGGGAGGGACCTCCATGCTGGGCTGCTTCCCGGTGGCTATGCTCTTCCGCCTGGCGCGATGATCTGAGAGAAAGAGAAGAAGTCGACAGGTAAGACACTATTACACATCGGTGGAAGGGAAACATCAAAGGTAAAATGAGGACAGGATCAAAAACTGCAACCGTTTACACTGGTAGAGCGAGAGGACGTGGAGAGAGAAAGACGGGGCCATTGTGGAAATAAAAAGCAATGGGAGATGTTATTGACAATATGCCTGAAGGAATGAAAGAGAGGAGTGAAAGAATGTGAGATCTAGATAGAGGTCAAAGGTGACAAAGGCAGAAATAAAACCATACAGGGTCACACCCATCCACCAGCACTGCCGCTGCTTCTACTGCTACACATGTACATAAACTCAAACACACCTTCATCCCTGGAGGGGAGGGGATTGACACAGTGGGCGAGAGCCTATTGAAGAGATGGATTTTCTGTCTGGACATCAGATGAGGCGAGTGTTAACAGTCTGCATGTTGGGGGGGGTGGGGGGGTGGGCGGGACTGAGAGATGCATGGATAGAGAGGAGTGAACATTAAACAAACAAAGTACTTATTGACTTCCGTCGGCAACTCGGTGCCTAATGCACTGAATTGGCCGGTAAGGGAATAAACTCCTGTCCTACGCTTGATGGATGAACAAGAGAGTGCAAATGTATAGTTAGAGAACAGGAAACAAATCAGAGGAGGCCTGGTCAACCTGGTCAGCCTGTTTACCTACTGCTGCACCAACATATTACACCAAAAGTCAGAGTAAAAGTTGAATGCGCGTGCCTCTTTTCGGTCAGCCACTTCCCCATCACTTCATCCTTCCACCAAATGCTTCAAAATCTGTAAAATATCAGTAACTATGTCTGTTTCTGCACCTGTGTTCTCATGGCAAATTCCTGTACATGCATTGTGTGATGAAAAAGACTTTCAGGTTCAACAGAGTAAAGTTACAAATCTCACTGAGCGTGTATAAATCAATGAATGATTTGGCCAGTAAACACACCTCTGACTTGATCTTACAATATAGAAACTGCAAGACCTGATAGATCACATAAACTGTCTTCAGTTCCTCAACTAAGACCATAGATTACTGATGCTTTATTTAGTTACTATGTGACTTGAGATTTTTGCGAGTAATCTGCTTTTTTAACAGCAGAATTGGAGATTATTGTCTTTTATTTCACACATTCTTCTTCCTTATCAAAATCTGACACCTACATTACCCACAGTGCAACATGACACCCAACAGTTTGGTCAGTGTGTGTTATTCTAGTAGCAGATAATGTAGCCTCGAGTCACAAGCCTCAAGCAGAGATGAGTAGTGGGCTACAGAGGTCTGGTAAGCTGACTTCTTTCTAACTCCACACCCACAGATATTTCTCATTTTCAGAGTAGTAGTCTTCAGCCCCACACACAGCTATTTCTGGAGCCAGAAAAAGCTTGCATACAACTTTTCTACATATGCAATAGTTCCCCCCAAAGACCTGTAAACTGACTTTGGTGTGTAAAATCATCATTCAACAAAGCTGCATGTGTGTATTTGTTGAATTTAATGACATTGGACATTGTTCTCTAACCGAACCTCCATGGAGACAGAACTGTGCAATTAGGTTAGCAAAACCTACAATCAAATCATATTGACACATTTTATGTATTTAGTTTAGTTGATCAATAATACTATGCCAGTTTATTCTTCACCTTAATAGCAGTACGCCAATGAATAGAGACAGGAAGAGAGTGTCGAGGTTGGGGGCTTTAAAACTAAAATAACTGCATACTTTTGGGCAGCCAGGTTTCATATCACAATTTGGTTTAAATACTATTTCTGCTGCTTTTTTTTTTAATCCCTTTCTGTGGAAAGCTTTGTGGAAGACACTGTGAGGGATGAACTCTCACCACAAGAGCTGCCAGATATGAAGATATTGATTATCAGCACAGAATCTTGGCTATCATCTGGGTTTTCATGAGGGAGAGCATGTACTGTAAGTGTACAGTCAGACTGAGTACACTGAGTACACTATATACTACTATAAAAATTCCACACCCCCCCCCCCCCCCGCATTTCACACTCAACTTTCTGACCCTTTTCAGTACACCACACAGGTGCTTATAATTCACTCAGTCTACAGCCATGCTGTGAGCTAAATGCTAACATCAGCATGCTAAGATGCTCATAATGACAATGCTAACATGCTGATGTTTATTAGGTGTGACGTTTACCATGTTCATCATCTTAGTTAGTGTGTTAGCATGCTAAAACTTGCTAATTAGCACTAAACACAAAGTACAGTTGAAGCTCATTAAAATGTAGTTTTACAGGTATTTGGTCATGAACCAAGTTAAGGAATCATAAAAATAATGCAGTGATAAAATCAGGATTTCAGCAGCAGAGCAGCGACCTGGAAAGTGACTGCTGGTTAACATGTAGTCTTAATGGGCCGTGTCAGTCACCATTTCATACTTGTTCCGTTGTCTGACAGCACAAACAGAAAAATGTGTAAATAAGAACAACTTTATTGGTAATTTGGTTTATCAAACCACTGTACATGTGAGCACAAAGAGCAGGAGAGAAACAAACAGATAAAGAGCTGAAAACAGCTGATGCTTGGCAGAATGCAAATACGCCACGATGATGTCATGAATATGCTTATTGGTGTATTACATCATCTAGCGACATTTAGCACCGTTTCCAGCAAGCTTTAGCTACTTCCCATTGAAAGAAGTTGTTAAAAGCGGTTCTACAACAGTTTTCAACTATCAACTCATCAATTTTTGCACGTTGACCTCACACAATCCAACATTATACTATGTCTTGACCTCTTCTTGTTTCCAGTATTTCAGCCTATCTCACTCTGACTCTTCACGTTATCTATCTCTGCTCTTTCCTTTGCTCTCTCCCTCTCTCAGCCTCTTCTGTCACACAGTCACACTAATACTCAGACACACACACACCTCTCCTCTCCCTCCCACACAGCTATTTTACATAATTCAAACAGGGCATTTATCCCTCTACCTCCCTTCATCCCCTGATCTCTCTCCTCTCTCTCTAATTTTCTTTCTCCTCCTTGCACCCTCTTCTTGTTTTCATACTGTCCTCTCGTTCCCTTTCCTTCACATATGTGTGGCACCTAGAACCCTACATTTTCTCCATACTTACCTTTATCTGTATTCCTCTTTTATCCTCATTGCCCTTCTCCTTCCACTCCCTTTCATTTACCTGTCCAAACGACAATCCTTTCACTGCGAGCCTGCATCTCTCTGTCTGCAATCCTAACATTTTCTCCAAACCATGTGAGGAGGAAAAGAGATGACCACGAAGGTGTTTGTCACTCTGCCGAGACATCAAACTATGCCAGTGTCTCTTTGCCCAAATCCACAGCTACAAAAAAATACCAGATGAAAGTCTGTAGGCTGGATGACTGACTGGTGGAGGAGTCTTCTAAATTAAATCTGAGAAAGGAGGGATCTTACATGAAAAGGTTGCTGACAAATCACAGGAGAGGTGGAAACTCAAGATCTAGCTCTGATAAAAGGTGTCAAGAGAATGTTTGACAGTTGATTGTAATTGTATGAAAAGTCTGTTAATTTTGATCTCTTCAAAACTGTTTTGTAAGAGCGTTGCATAATGGCAAACTTTTCTATTTGAAAAAACTGGATGACTGGCACAAAATTAAAGAAGATTATAGTTTGGTACCTGCTGCATTTTCAAGAATTTGAAGTTACTGATTGGCTAAATTGTTCCAGGAATTGCTCTTCTCTAGTTTAGAGATACTCAATGAGTTTTGGTTCATGAACTTAAGGAGATTTCTATGTGGCTGCTGTCGCTAGTTCACAGTAATGCTCACAGTTTCTTAGGTGTTTTGCTACTCTGCAAGAAGTGTTAATTGACGGCAATTACCTTGGGTGATGCCCTGTACGGCTGGAGGTTATTCCATCATTATGTATGCATCATAACTGCAGCCATCTCAATTAATAGGCTTCAGAACAGTGATATCAAGATCCACTTCAGAATTTGTTTCCCAAACTAATTAGTCTCCCCTGGAGGAGCAGATTGTGCCAAGGAGAGAATGGTGATTTAAGATTCAAATGGCATCAGTCATTGTAAAGCACTTTGTGCTACATTTCTTGTATGAAAGGTGCTATACAAATAGAGTTTATTATAATTATTATCATTATTATCATTGTTATTATCAGTCTTACCGTAAGAAAACTAAAAATTTGGGCCATTTCTGTGGGCTTAGCCATAGACGGTGAAATGAGAAAAACAAGCAGTGGTGTAAGTTGGTGTACTATCCTAACCCTTAGGGAGATTTAAAAAAAAACAAAAAAAAAACAGTTGGTTCATTTGTTGCCAATTTGGAGTTGTAACATTCAGAGAAAGCACGTGTTTTATTACATCCTCCAATGGAGGGATTCATTGGAGCAGGAGTCTTGATTTCTGTTGGAAATCAACCAAGTCTTTGTCTGCTGTAGTTAGTTGCAGCTGTTGTTGTTTTCCCTCAAAAGTACAGACAGTGTGCACTATGAAAACACTTACTTTTTTTTATTTCAAAGTTTATCTGATGTGATATCACTAACCATAAACGTCTTCTTTTAGCTGCATCATTATCCACGTCATTAGGTCACTGTCATTATCCACAGAGCAATGCAGGATAACAGCAAGCTTCTCAAAATCCACTCCTCAAACTGCAAAACTAATTGTAGAGGACATAGAGGGATGATAGAAGGGCAGTGTGACACAAAGCAGCATGACTCATTTCTTTTAATTGCTCTGACTCTCTCAGTAATGATGCTGAATGTTAGCAAAGTCAGCTAAGCAACTATTAAAACCACACGCTAGCCTCACTTCCTCTGCTGCTCAGCTGACAGCGCTGTCAGCAGCCATGCGTGCACTAGGGTTTTATTACTGATCTTTGGTCAGAACGCATACTTTTTATTTCTTTGATATTGCGGAAATCTGATATTTTCACATCACAGATGATGATCAGAGACTCTAAACTTGTTGTGTTTTGTAGCCTTGAAGATAGGCGACCACAGCAA